AGAGTAGGAAAGAGAAGGTTAAGAGACCCGGGTATATTGGGACAATGGATGCATCGACACCAAGGCTCTAAATTTAAGTTGTGAATCATCAGGGGCATAGCACAACTGAGCAGGAATGTTTCTAACCCGCTACCAGGTCATATGCCCGACATTCCCGTGTCGAGTCCAGGAAAGAAGGAAATCGAAGAAATAGAAAAAGAATGAGAGAAGATGCAAAAGAAAAGTTGTACTTGCATGATAGACTCCCCATTTTATTGCTCAAAATAATCTATCTCGATCTCCTGTATAGGTCAAATAAAATTAATCTAAACAAAGTAGAGTAAATAAATTACTGATTTTTTTTTTTTTCTCAAAACTACAAGATAACCCTCCTTGCCATCAACAAGAATTTGGCGAAATTGGTCTCTTTGTCCAATCTGCTTGGCATAACCTCTAATAAACAAGTGAATGAGATATCGGTCGCCTTGTTTCTGGATCAAACACCTTTTCTTTAGATTTGTCAAAGCTTCAGCACAGTTATCACCAAGTATTGCTTCTGCTGCATCTCTCTTAAAAGACTGAGGAAACACTGATAGGGAAACTAGCGCACTTTGCAAAGACTCATCTAGTTTTTCGAAAGCTATTTCCATTATTGGTTTTACACCAAGAGTTCTGGCCGCGTTCTGCTCAAGCTTATATTTAAGGCCATCAAAAGTGTATTCAGATTCCATTGCAAGGAGAGGACCAGCTAGCCGAAGCGCAAGTGGAATGTACTCGCAAATTTCAGCTATCTGGCGTAATTTGGCTTTACTTTCCGTGTCACTGAGGGAAGTCAAATTAGCACTGTCCTTTAAAATTTCTATGCCTTCCGCAACATCCAAAGGACCAAGGTCTCATTTACGAAGAAGAATGTTTGAAGCCGTTCCGACAGTTTCAACGTCTAAACTGGAGGTTATCAGAAACTTTATTTTACAATCTGAACGCATCCTCATATCACTCAACAAGTTTAAAAACCAGTCTTTATTACGACCCTCTACAACATCCTCCACATCTCATTGTCAAGCTGTCAACACCAGTTGAGCAAAACGTGTTTTGGATACTCGGTGCCTTGATAATTGCTTGGAACGCATACATTCAGGATTTCTCTCACCACGCTTTCAACTTCTCTGCTCCCTTCATACGCGCCTTGCAAAGAACAATACTTAACAATGGCTCCAAATTCGTCTTTCAGCCGGTACCCAGCTTGAATGGCAACCGTGGACTTTCCTACTCCGGCCATTCCAGTGACAAGGAAGCCCGCCACGGTTTTGCAGCTTTTTTCCAAGAGAGCTTGAACAATGTCACCAATCTCCTTCTCACGGCCGTAAATATGGGGCTCCTTTTCTGGTAGCTCACTTCTGAGTCTGATTTCGTCCATTTCTTTTTGTAAAGAAACAAGAAAGTCAACAAAACTCTCATATTATCGAAGCAAATTTAGTTCAAAGGAAGAAAGATCGGGAAAGTAGTTTCGACCCCTCCTCCTCGCGGACATTTAGTCATGGTCCCCAGGACACAGAAACGTTCCATTTTTAATCTTCCTAAGTGGCTACTTTTTCTGGTCCCAATGGTGTTCGATTGAAGGACTTTTTTTCTAGGATATACCACCCGACCATGTGGTGAATGAAGTGGTAGGATGCACGAGGTGTATGGCTCCTGGTGTATATTTGATACGACAAATAAAACTTTTATTAAGACAGGGGTAATTAAACAAACATTAAAATGAAGGTAGACCTTAACATGATACCCGCCGGCTCTTTTCACGTTATGACTGAAAATGTTACGAGATTTCTCAAGGGGCACTAAACAGCTGATAAAAGCAAAAATATGGGTGAAAGTGATCATATTGTCATTTTATTTTTTTACAGAAATTGATCTTAGATGTCGCCACACATATAGGATTTAATGACATGAAACTCGATCTGCACACTTTGCCTGTTTTCTTTTTTTGGTAGCCTGCGGATGCAGCATCCTCTCATCGTCCATCGAGAATGGCCGAAACGTCCCCAGAGTGACATGGACCGATTTGGGGCGGCTGTAATCGCAGGCCATCATTTTTGGGGAAAAAACAAAGTCCGTTACGGTTCCACGTATTGGTAGCCTTCATCCTCAGGAAAAATTACGTTGCATTTTTTATATCATTTATCCCCTCAACCTGACAAAGATCATCGGCAGGCACATTTAACATGGTTACAATTGTCAGCTATGTTCTTCAACCACGCGAAAGCGAGGCAAAATGTCCGACTAACACACGTCGAGAATCAACCGGTATCCGAGTTGAATAGGTTTGCTGTTCAAACGCCCGCAGCAATCAATGTCGTCTTAGAACTTCCTTTTAGAGTTGAAGACTGAAAATGTGAAGTGACTACAAGGACTCTGGACCAAACTATTTTAAACTCTGTCACCATATTTGATGTGAAAACTAGGGACATGAAAAAGGACATGAAAAAGAACATGTCATATGACAATAAACAAATTGATATTTCAAAGAAAAAAAAAGGTAAAAAGGAACACAGCAAATACACAACGTTGTTGAGTTGTGCTTATAGCTTGAATAGTAGTGTGACTAAGTGACTAAGTTTAAGCATTTACAGCGAAACCCGGTAAAGCGTTCCAAGGAAGAATAATTTTTGAACTTGATTATTTCAATTTTGAGTCAAAAAGGCAATTGGATCAGTTTATGGCCTCAGTCTTCTCCTATCATTTCACTTACCTGGCGTTGGTACCAATTGTGTCTCCATTCTATCCACTACTGCTTGAAAGTCATCTACTTTGGCCTCAACGTTATTAACTGATGCTTGAACGTTATCGACTTTGGCCTCAACGATATTCAGCTTGTCCTTTAAGCAGTCCTCGTCCACCTTCCACTGCTTTAGCATCTCTATGTATTGTTCTTCTAAGACAGGGTCCATGCAGTCATACTTAAGAACATCAATAGCCGCTTCATAATCCGCTCCTCCCAGTCTTACCAGAGTGTCGCGGATTTCCAACCAATAGTTACTAAAATTTGCATCGTCAACGGACGCCTGAGCAGCATGACCGTACACTTTGTTTCTGTAACATTTGATGCGAGCTAAGTCATCCTCACAACTCACATCTGTAGGCGCTGGAAGTTTATCCCAACCAGCGGCCGGAGGAGTCAGGCCACAAATATTCCTAAGCAGCACCATCAGCAGAGTGATGTCAAATTTCTCAGATGAAACAGAAGATTTGATGGCAGGATACAAACTGCTCCATTGTGAGGGGTTTACAACTTTCTTCTTTAGAAGTGATTTCAGCGTGTCAGATGTTGGAGGTGTTCCCAAAACAGTGTCAAGACGTCCACGCGGACGTATTCTATCGAATGTCTCCCTCAGGACCTGAGAACCAACATCCACCAAAAGGGCACATAATCTGGCATAGTTAGTGGTCTCCCTTGAGGTGGGAAATGTTGGCGATGCAACAGCCATAACCAGATGACTACTTTACTCTGCAACGAGAACCTGGAATTTACTGACACTAACAATTAATGGACCTCAAATACCAATATACAGAACAGCATTCCTTGTCCAACGTAACAACAACAAAAAAAATAAAGTAAAGGGCATAATGATCTTGACAGTGCGCATGCTCTTTAAACAACCGAGTTAATAACAATAATAATAATGATAATAATAAATTTATAAATTCACCATAGCGCCTTTTGAAATAATTAAATGATCACAAGCGCTTTATATTTTATTCTACAAATATGGCTAAAAAATAAACGATGAAGTACTTTTATTTATTGCATAAACGTTTTCTCTTTAAGAGCTGCTGATGCATATTTGTCTAAAGGATGCTTAGTGTCCATAACGTGATTCATTCAATAAGAGTACTTCATGAAATGTGCGGGCGTACGGTATTTAGGTACGAGTTGTTGACGTATCAGAAATCGTGGCGCTCACTCGTTTGATTTCTAATACGTCAACAACTCGAGCGTAAACACTGTACGAAGCACTTTCCATGTGGTATTGTGTTTATTATACACATACTAACGGTCTTTCCAAATCGAATCTTTCCAAAATTCTGAAATTTACCGCCACTCACCGCGAAATGACAACGAAATCGAAGTATCAGCTTGTTAAAAATATAATGAGGATAAGGGTATGAGGTAACACATGAATTTTATTAAATTTAAAAGAAATGTCTGGTTTGAATGTTTAAGCTTAAGGCTTAAATAGAAGACAAAGTATCTCAGTTAAATAGCACAACTTAAGCTTACTTCTCGTTCTGTTTTTCCCCTTCCGCTGTTGTTTTGTCGGCTCTCTACAGTTTCCTTCATCGAGAATGAAACAGACTGACAAACCTATTCCACTCCAATTTCCGACATGTTTTTTTAGTTTCTTCAAAACAATGTATAGTAATATAGAACAGTTATTAGACTCGCTCTTTGTGATAACCGGAGTAATCAAGTTCTCGGTAAGTGTCATCAGCCGAGGCTGGCCAGTCTAATCTTGGCTATGATGAATCTTCAAAAGTGGGAATTCTTATTTGTGATATCACTAACATAGATTAAAAATAGAAGAGGTCCTAAGAAAGAGCCTTGTGGTACTCCAAATTTTGTTTCACGTCTTGTATTTTACAACTTGTTTTCGATTTGATAAATAGTTATTAAACCATTCTTGTACAGCTCCTCGTTTACCAGAGTGCTCAACTTTGAATTTTGTAAGAGGATACTATGATTCACTGTGTCAAATGCTTTTGAGAGTTCTAAAAGCACACCCATAGTTTATTCCGTATCGTCAATTGCTTTCGATATCCTTTCGATAAGTTCCATTATAGCTAAATTTGAAGAAGGCTTTTTCCGAAAACCGTATTGACTTTCACTTAAAATGTCTTGTCCAAAAATTTAATAACTCTCTTGTACATTAATTTCTCTAAAATTTTTGAAAAACAAGGGAGAGCTGATATCGGTCGGTAGTGTGAGTACGATTCCTTGTCATTTGACTTGTTATATATGTGTATTAAAGGTTCGACTATGTGTTTGGAAATTGCTTTTACAACGTTTAAAGATATCTCGTAATATAACCAGGCGATTTGTTAGCGTCTAAGTTATCTATTTCTCTTGCCACTCCGTTTATCGTTATTGCATTGAGGAATATAGAATTTATATTTGTTTCATCTAAGTATGAATCAAAGTTTCTTAAATTAGTTGGGATTTTATCAGCTAAATTTGGCCCTAGGTTAATAAAGAATTCATTTATGTTTTCTCCTGTTTCATTTGGGTCAGACATAATTTTACCGTCCTTGACAAAGTTATCCGCTAACCTATCTTAGAAGTCAACTTAGTTTTGTCAATTATTTCATTGATAATTTTCCATGTGTGTCTAAGATTTCCTTTTGATTCATTTAGTTTATCACGGTAGTATAATTTCTTTACCGTTTTTTTAAGTCTGTTGGATCGTTTGAATATTTTTTAGATAGCTTATTTTTAATTCTATTTTTAGTATGTCTTAAGTAATCCAGGGCGTTTTATTGTCTTTGTGGTGACTGTTCAGGGGCACCCAAAGAGAATATAGCTCAAAAGCACTTAAACGTAGTATTGTTAAACGTGCTTTAGTCTATAAACGGTAGACATAAGCATATTTTTATCCCCTGAAAATTTTTTTATCTGTTCGGATTTCCTAGGTGAAAGTCTAGTGATTGTAGGGATCAAAACTTACCTTTTCGAGAATTTCAGCCAGAAAAAAGGCTCCCGAAAATTGTAGGTGTCCTTTGTAGGGTAAAAATCCGTTAAAAATGGGCAATTATACCATTTTTTAAGTGTTCGAAAATCCTAGCAAGCAAGAAATTTTACAACAAATGTTCAGAAAATTCTAGATCTCAAATGGTCATTCTTAATAAGGAATAGTGCAACTTTAGGAAAATGTTACTTATTTTCTTGTCGGTTTAAATCGGCATATGTTTAAAACTACATTTTTACGAAAAATGTCAGTAACTTCGAAACTCTACGACAGATTTTTCTCTAACTTCAGCAAATAAGCCTTAGAGCTTTCTAGTATAATATCTGCAAGTTTGAAGTCAATCGTGACCGTAGAACTCGCTGCACAAAATGCTGGTCAAATTTCACTTTAAAATGCAACGCTAACACAATAAGCTATAGAACTGAAATGGTGCTTAATTGTTTCGCAGCTAATAGTATGCCTACACGACTTGTTGCGCCAATTTTAGTGAGTTAAGCGGTAAGCAGGATTTTCAATCAGTCGTTTTCTCCGTCGCAGAATTAATGTCAAAAGCAGTTTTAGTGAAGTTAAGTGTTTGTTAAACAAGGAAGTTATCGTGAGCTTAGCCTTTCTAAGACTTAGTATAGATTGTCCTTTTCATAGGTATATTTCAATGACATAAACTTGAGTTACGCGCCACTACGCCGGTCGATGGCCGAGTCCTAAGTGGCAAACAATTAAAAGTGGAACTGTAGATGGGACTGTGTAGCGGTTCTGGTTTTCTCCATGCAATCGAACGAGGGCAACGCATCGCTCAGAAGGCAAGTTATTTTGCGACATCATCACAATACGAGCGCAGGCGGAATATTACAGCCCTTCATAAGTCGGAGTACTACCCTGAGGGTGATGGGTCAGATCTTTCATGCAGCTACGCGACTTCGATATTTAAGTTATGTGAAATAAATGCATTACAAACTACGTTTCTCACGTTTTTGATGTCAATGAATCATGAAGCTTAGAAATTAAGAACTTTGAATATCCGGGTGGATATAGTGGTACTTAAATAAACTAAGTAAGATTGTAAATGTCTGCTTGTTTGCCCTTCAATCACGCCAATATGAAGTCAGAAATCGTTCGAAAGTTTGTAAATTGCTCTAAAGCACTTGTTGCAGTCTTAAAAAGTCTAAGTGCAGTCTAGCCTTAGATAAGAAACATAATTAAAAAAGAGTTACCTGGTGGCGAAGTGAGCCCTTTGCATAAAAAAACCATAGCACAATTTTATGGAATCGAGTTGTCGTTTGACGGAATCAAGTTAAACTGGGGATTGTTATTTAAAAGAAATCTTGGGATGTTTCACCTGAGTTTAAAATTAGTTTCACTCTCAAGGATCCCGCGTATAGAATCAGTTACACTAAACCTGAAAGCCATCTACAACGAAAGTGAAAAATTTAGTTTACCAACAGCACTTTCATAGTTACGCAGAGAAGCATCAATGTGCCGTTCTTTCCTAGAAGGCTCTATTTAAATTTGAAGAAAGATGTAACAAATCATGTGTAGCAAAGGTTTAGGAGACGGGAAAACAATTAATATGACCTCCCTCCTCTCTGGAGGGTTTTCCCAAGTAAAAGCTCATATCTTACCAGGAGCAGCAATTTCCAATTGTAAAACAACATTTTTTTCCCAGTTGAGCAGGAAACCGTTGTCATTGACAGCGAGTTTTATTTACATAATCATCAAGCATTGTGAATGTTGATATTTTTATATTTGCGATATTTGTATTCGATAGATAATTTTGTTACGCCAATTGTACAACGTTTATTGGTACTTATTACCTAGTTTGGTTGACTGAGATGCTCTTTTTCGACATCATGTTTCGGATACGCACGTGCTGAAGTACGATTTGACAAGATTTGATTATTTAAAGTTCTTTCTTCGTCACAATTAAATTGATTGAATTGGGTATTTAATTGATCTTATTGTCCAAACAAAGGACAGCTTTTAGTTTGAATTAATTGATCTTTTTCTGACCACTAACAGACAACCAGACAAAGTTGTCAAGATAAGTTTAGTTCAGCCAAAAAAGACCCAAAGAAGTTCCGTTTTTGTCATTTTCTTGTGTTTTGGGATCTTTTTATTGAACTGAGCTGTGTTTGGAGACTGAAACCCGTTCCATCAGATTTTCTCAATCGGACCGTTTAGCTTATTTCAAGAAACGTAGTATATTCATGGTTGTTTAAGGAAGAGGAAAAGCCTCTGTAAAAATATCAGTGACTAACTGGTTCGTAAACAACCTTTGAATTAATATATGGAAAGGGGGCGCGGGGGGGAACTGATCAGTATTGTTATGGTATTCCAAAAGACAAGACAAGGTTCCAAAAGACAACTTGGGTATTAAACGTAAAATGACGAATTGTACTTTTGGTTATAACGGTATTGTACATGAAATTTTACGACATAGCTTTTTGGTGAGTATTTCTCAGTATGTATATAATAAACTGAGCTGATTTTTATTCACGCAAACATTCCTTGTAAGTCTTATATCTCTCTGGCTGTTTTGTTTTGACTGGAAGAATTTTGTGGAGTGAGTTTTGAAGCAAAAGTGGTTTTTGTAACTACGCCACAACCGCCTGCTTTGACCAATCGGATTTTTACTGATGTAAGACTAAATATAAGATGAGTAAGCTTGGCAGCTTTCAAAGTCCAGTCAGGATAAAGGGAGCATCAAGGAGCCTTTGTCAGAGAGATTCAGCTAGAAGTGTGCCTTTAAAATTGTGCTAAAGAGAAGCTAATAAATAAAAGTCATTGTAGAAGGACTTCTTGAAGCCCTCCCTTCAGGTTTCCTCTAGAACACGAGTGTTGCCTAAAATTTAAATTTAAGTTCGCTACAGAAAAGTCCCAAAACGTTACATATACGTGAAAAAAAAGGAAATAAAATGTAGCCTGGTCTCCTCTTTTCAGTTTTTAAACTTCACTTATTTGTCTTTATCCAAAAAGGGAAAACATGATTATCATATTACAAGTGAGAAAATAACTGTGAGCAGTTGAGCTTCAAAAGCTAAGTGACTGTGATAATGCAAAAAGCATATAAAATGTATGTATTTTTAAGCAAGTGCTGATAAAAAGTGTGAAAGTGCTGAACATTTTATCTGAAGTGTTTTATTTGTATCTTAGTAGTAATTGCCTACTAATAGGTGCTACTCTTGTTAGCATCTACATGCAACATGATTAAATTAATCATGTGTTTTACTGAAGATCTTTACTTTTATATTTTTTGAGTGTATACAGTCTATTAGGGACCTTTTATTTATTATAAGAGATGAGCTTGTGAATTCTTCTGACCACTAGATATATTTTACGGCAATTTCACATTTCACTAATGCAATCTCTCTCCAATAAAAAGTGAAAGGTTACCTGGTCAGGAATAAATCCCAAAGTGACTTCTGATCAAGTACGTAATGCTTCCTTCCAATTTTCCTTCCATATGCTTTTAAATCAAAGAAAGAATAATTATGACCCCCAATTGAACCAGGAGTTGCTTTGGACTTTATTCCACACACCCCTGAAACTAGTATATAACTATTATTAACTAGTATTTTTAGTAAAACTGTTAAAAACACTTTTATCTATGTATAGGTCCTTCTAATTCGTCCAGCACACTGAGGACATTTTGATCAACTTCATAGATTTCACCATGAACTTGCTGTTCAAAAGAAAACACATCAGCTAATTAATATATTTGCGCAGGTATTTGTTGCCAAGCAAATAGCAGGGCAGCATGCTTTTTAGTACGTTGTGGAATTTTGCTCTGTTTAATAGATATTTTCCTGGACATTGACTTGGTGTTATCAAGGCTGTGCTCTAGCAGAGCCCGGTGGCTCGTGGCGCCCACTTTTGTTCTCGGGCGACTAGAAAATCTTTGCTTTTACACAGAAATCATATGCTGGGCACACTGGATTTCACAAGTTCAGAGCACTGGGCCCCCTTTAATTTGTCTTAGAGCACAGCCTTGGTTATGTCATCTACACTTAAATTAGCACCAGTAATATGCATGCATACTTAGAATGTACTAAGGAAAAAAGATACTTTTGTCTAATAGACGATTTTCAGGGTGAAGCACAGCCCGCGACCAGGGTCCTTGGAAGAGAAAGGAGGTAAATAACAGGGTGCTGTCACAGTGATTTTGGTATCCCTGTGTTATGGGTAATTCCCCATACCCAAATCACTAATATAATATTATGTCAGTGTTTTGGATATCCCAAACAAATCTGTGAGGGACTGCAGATAGGGAAACGGCTCCTTTCCTTCCTTAATCCTCTGCTTGGTTGGCCTCTTTAATCACACTAGCCCCTTTATCTGCCCTTTTGTCCACTAAGGAGGCTGGTCCCAGGCTAATACTGAAACAAAAATTTCCTTGTTTCCACATCGCCTAAGTTGACAAACAAATTTTCAGTAGATATCTTTAAACAACTCAGTTGACAAAAGGACATAATACACGTGGTTTTATTAGAATTACAGGTAATATATTCATAATTAGTATAGGTAGTAGCTAGCATGATTTGTAGTGATATTTGGCATAAATACCACGAGTGATATTTCAAAATTATTATACGTAATTTCCCGAGTCGTTAGGCGTGTGAAATTTGAGGCAATTTTGAAGTATCTCAAGTGGTATTTATGCCTAATATCACGTACAAATCGTGCTATTATTTTTTTATACTACTACCTTCAAAGGTTTCGTAATTTTCACATGTAGGTATTTCAAATTAAGCTGAAATACTTCTGCTCTAAGCCAATCAAATTGCAGAAATTTCTCATGTAGTACTATAATAAAAATAATTCAATTTTTATAATGGTACCTTTCCTTTGCCTTCCAAAGGTAGCAGAAATGGAATACCTGCATCTGTTCCAACAACCAGTGGATAAGCTTCCTTTGTCTGACCTTTTGTTAGAAACCTAGCCATTCCATGCAAGCCATCCTGCATTAGATAGTGATTTGCAAATCCTTTTTTCAAAGTGCCATACACAAACACCCTCACAGTTCCACCTTCCATAACAGAAAACCTGCTTCTTGAAGGTTTATTTTCTCAGGGCCTAACAAAAATATCAGAGGGAAAATGATTTTTAGTTTAGTTAATTTATAGTGAAACAATGCAGAAAATTGTATGATTCTCATCTATTATAATCCATCACGATTTGTTCAAAACCTTATGCGGCACAAAAATCGATTCTGCAAACTGTTCAGTCAGTTATCACTGAACAATCTGATTATCTGTGTTGATCAATTACTAATTTAATCTCAGCCCATTCCCATGTCACTTAACAGTGACTTAAGATAGTTACTTATCCTGGGTTAAATCCAAACAGACCATTATGAGTTGTCACAGAGATTAACCCTTAATTTGTACTGATTAATATTTGCACACCTTGGCCCTAAGCTACATGTATACCACCATGATTGGTTAAAAATCATGCACCAAAGCTGTCTTCACCAATCAGAAGTACTGGGTAATACTTAAGTTGACTAGCCCATGTATTTTCCTGCACATATTAATAAATTACCAGTGGCCGCTAATCATATTTTGCTTGAAAAATAGAAAACCCTTTCATTATTTTACAAACAAAGAACGGCTATAATTTCTGTCACTTGTGTAAAGTTAACTATTTAGAAAAAAAATATGTTTTTGGTGTTGGCCATGGAATAGATTAATGATAAGAGAAAAACCATCACAAAAATTCAAATCATTTAAGTCAGGCCAACATTATCATTGACAAGCTCAAGGGCCTGATTCCAAGGAGGGACGATAGCCTAGTACTAGGTTTATCCTAGCAAGAGGGTTACTCTGACTAGCACTCACACATTTTTTCTTATTTATTTTTATCGGAAATGTTTAGAAGGCAGAGAGGATTACTCTGGCATTAGGATTACCCTTGCTAAGTGTTGGGATGAGGGGAAAAAAAAACATGCTCACTATTTTTTTTCAAAATATTATTTTATTTTTGGAATACCAGTTGATTGAGTGCCTCTGCAGTGAAGAGAGGTTTTGGGTTGAAATAGGGTAAAAAAAAAATTGTCTGAAATGGGGTAGGAGATTCAAGGGACATGGCTGCACACCCACAACCAAATGTCCCTAAAGTATCCCACCAAGGTTATAAGGAATATGGACATTGAAATCAGAAACTCAAGTTTTTCTAAAGATACAAACCCCTGAAGATTTAAAATCTGGAGACTGTCTCTTTTGCAGTGCCCCTCCCCCTCAGATAAACACAAATCGAGCCAGTCCCCAAATAATAACATCCTAGTCTTGTGATGAAGAACGTGTAAAACTTTCACTGAAATCAGACTGAAATCTTACTTTGAATTTGTAATAAAATGGGCTAAATTTTACAAAAATAAGCCACAGAAAAGCTCAAAGGTCGATTTTATCCTGGAGTGTGATTTTTAATAGTGATCCGCACGGGAGAACTCTGCGTGACTCCCGGTAATCCGCTGGCATGACTGTACTTTTGACTCCCGCTAACTCGAACCTCTCGCTAACTCGAAGTAATTTTTGTTTCCCTTCAGCTCATTTCTGTACAATTTTACGCTTGATAATTCAAACCATGTTATAAGCGCGTAACAAGTCGGGAAAAAAACCGTGTACTGAAGTCCAGAACACTGAATTTATTTCAAAACAACCGAGTGAATTCTTTGTCTTTACTTTTTTGTCACTCCAGTTCAAATTCAGTGTCCATCCCTGTATACTTTTTTGCTTAATTGCTTTTCCTTCCCATCCATTTGCTTATTTCCTTACTTGCGGTTATTTGCTTCGAACTCCCGATAACTCGAACTTTTTTCGATTTCCCTTGAAGGTTCGAGACATCGGGAGTCGACTGTAGGTAAAACTTTATATAAGCTAAGGTTAAAAACAAAGACTCATCCCAACACTCGCGAGTAAAAACAAGGATCAAAGCCGACAAAATAGAGCGTAGAAAAAATTCATCGTTAGTTTTGGGCAGAGTGTGATAAACACTTAGCCTGAATTTCATCCGATTACTTCGAGTCGTTATTACTCCCTCAGTAACGTCTGAATCGACCGGCCGTTAATGCCGTCCAGTGACGTCAGTACTCCTTGACCTTTGCTTTAATTCATGCATAAAGTAACACACGATTTTCGAACCGACTGTACTAAATTCTATAATCAAACTCGGTCGCAATCACGCAATGAAAAACACACATACGAAACGGCGCCACACGAAACACTTAGTTAAAAAACACAATGATTTGCTTTAATTGAAAAGAAGCTATTTGGTCCTTAACGAAGAAAAAAAAAACAAGGAGACAAGAAAGAAAAGCTAACAGAATCATTACACTTGACGGTAAAAATAGCAAGAAGGTCGAATTATAACATTGATCTCAGTAAACTTCGCGTAAACAAAAACAAAATCACCGGCCTCCGAAACCACAAAGCGGCTCTAAATGAAAAACCTACCGACCCTCCGCAATGATTCTTCATTCGTAGTTCAATTTAGCATTTCAGTTTCGAAGACAAGGGCAATTTTGCTGTTTAAGATAAAGATTAAGCTCGAAATGTTTGAACTAAACGAAAGAATGCCAGGGATGCGATCCGCTTAATATCAAGCGACAATCCCGCTAAAATTTTTCATAATTATACATAATTATGCGAATGTTTAGACAATCAACCAATCAAAATCACTACCCGGTTTTCGGGTAGTGAGTGACGTCACTGGACGGCAGTAACGGCCGGTCGATTCAGACGTTGTTGAGAGGAGAAAACGACTCGAAGCAATCGGATGAATTTCAGGCTAATAAACACTGGCCTGAAAAATGAAAAATTTGCTAGTAAGCTTAATAAAGTAGAAATGTGCGGGGTCACTCGACTAGCTGCAGATCATCCCCCATTGTTGAAAAGGCGTATAGAACCCAGGAGACGAAAATCTCTCTTACCTTGCGAGAAGAAGTCAGGAACCAAGGCAATCCACCATGTTCGCTTCGTTTAAACCATCAAATAAAAAATAAACATGATAAATTCTTTATTATCTTGGAGCGTAACTCTGTTAATGTTCATTCAAACACTCGCTACAGCTCGCACTACAAAAGTGAGAACCGGATGGCCGTATAGGTGATTTTGGAAAATTTTTTTAACAGTTTATGAATATTGAATGAGAGCAATTTGTATTGTGAAATACTGCTTTCTGTCCATGGTACAAAAGGTTGGTTTACACGCACCCAGATTTGTTGGCAAGATTTTGCAAAGTAAACTTGTCGAACGCCAAAACGTTGGCCTGGTTTTTTTTCTAAGCCTAATTGATCTACGGTGATCAATAGCCATTACGGCTCTTAAATATGATAAAAGATGATTACCAGTTTTTGAGTGTACATATGAGGCTATCAACTCGATGTAAGATTTGGTTCACTCTTGGGCTGTTTGCAAATTATTTTTCTCTAAAATCAGGTAGCCTTTCCCTCAAAAGTCACATAAATGTGCTCTAAAGTTAACTGAATTGTGGAATTCGAATACAAGTTTATTGTTTAATTTAAATTATAAATTTACTAATGGGAGCCTCGCTTTTAGCCCTGGCTAAATCTATATATTATATTAGGTATTTTGAGAACGGACCTCTGGAGCCAGGGTATCAAAAGACGGGCATATAAACAAGAACGAGGGGAAAATTGCTTTTTCGCGCAAGAAACACAATTTTTACTTACTCCCTCCCTATTCGCTTCTCTCGCATTTCTATTATTTTCCCTCCCCCAACGCCACTATCACATTTTTAATGAAGAGCTTAAGCACCGACGACGGCGACGTCAACGAGAACGTCAAACAAGCAACAGGTTTAGATTGGCAAAACAACAACTCTGCACGCGATCACTCTTTTTGTACATTTCTTTGCCGTCACTGCACGACTACGACGTGACAATTCCTAATTTCACGTTTTGTGGAGGACGTGAGCACAAGACAACGACTTTCTTTTTCTATTCCTGAACTTCGATACAGTCCTAGAATTTAACTCCAGAAAAAACTGCCAACATTTAACGAACTGAACGAGGTGGAATGAGCGCGGTAAAGTTTGAAACAGCGCGAATTCACTTTTTAAGTGACGGTTTCATAGCCGTTGCCGTCGTCGTTGCTTAAGCTCCCTGTTAGGGACCTTACGAAACTACGACAGCGACGGCAACGGGAACGTCAATAAAGCAATAGGTTTATTGAGCAAAACAACAACTCTCCACGTGCATCACGCTTTTTGGTACATTTCTTTGCAATCCCTGCATAACTACGACGTGAAATGACCAAATTTTAAGTTTACTTGGGGACGGGAACGGCAAGGCGATAAATTCTACCATCCCTTTCAGCACTTGGGCGTGGTCCCTTCTCTTAAGCTCCAACCCATATTCCATTCTTTTAAGTAAGTGAGCCCCTTGGAATAATCGCGAAAAAAAGTGAAAGGATGCAAGGTCTATTTTGCAGCGACATTTTCAAGGACGTCGCCATTATCAGATCGTAAGGTCCCTATTAGGGAGCTTATGCAACGACGACGACGACGGCAACAAGAACTGCAAAAAAACAATAGGTTTAGATCTGCAAAACAACAACTTTGCACGTGCATCACGCTTTTTTGTACATTTCCCTGCCGTCGTTGCACGACTACAACGTGAAACTGTCTAATTTCACGTTTTATCGAGGACGGGAACAAAAGAAAACAACTTTCTTTTTTTTTTCTGAACTTTGATGAAGTCCATTAAGTGACGTTTTCTTAGCCGTCGCCGTCGTCGTTGCGTAAACTCCCCAACAGGGACTTTAAGATCCAACGAGGCGACGGCAATGAGAACGTCGCTTAAAAAGTGAATTTGCGTTCTTTCATTCTTTATCGCAATTATTCCTACCCACTTACTTTGTCAAATGTAGGCGAAGCTTCCTGGAGTTGAATTCCTAGGCACCATACCCAAGTACAGAAAGAGAAATAAAATTTCGTCGTTGCTTGTTTACGTCCTCCATAAAACGCGAAATTAGGCATGTCCACGTCGTAGTCGTGCAAAAACCGGCAGAGAAATGTACAAAAATTATATTGGTTCTATACAAGGTCAGAAAGGCCTAAACAAAGCCAACAAGGCCCAAAACAGGTCAAACTAGTCAAACTTAGGCGAAAAATAAAGAAAAGGACTAATGGGTCATATTCTGCTGACAGTTGCAGTCCCTTTTACGACATTACTTTGTGATTATCGGAGGTGAAACGAACAGTGGAGGCCAAGTACATATTATTTTGAAGGATATACAATTTAATGATTCAAGAAGATAACACGAGCAAGGTTCAAGGTCAATTGACTTATCGTACAATCACATCAGGATATATAGGTCGAGCGCGGTTGCTGAGTAACAGGATTAAGGGCTAATCCCATAATTACAAGCATGCCTGAACTTGCCTGCGCCTATTTACTTGGAGATTTAATGATAAATTGACGGTATCTGACTACTCAGCAATTGTCACCATTCTCCAGAGCTTCGTTTATTCGTCGAAACAAGAAAGAATCTAATTTTGATTGGAGTTTTTAACCGAGAAAAACGCAAGTTTTTTTTTTTGGCATCATAAAGTTCTTAGCGTCCACAACGTGTCTATCCCTTTTGGTAAAACGCCCTAAGTTCATCTCTATGAAACCAGTTCTCCATTTTAAGTTCTTTAGCCATACTGAACACATTTTTGGCAAGCTCCTTAGCTTTACGTACTTCATCTGGATAATTTCTATACAGAAGTAATGCCAAATTGGTGTTGATCTCAACTTTCCATTTGTGATTTCCCTGGATAGTGTTCGCAGCAACTTCACTTCCCATCTCGAATAATCTTCGAGCTTGTTCAAAGTTACCACTCTTTTCATGACACCTTCCAAAGTTTTTATAGGTCGGAATCGCCTCTTTCTTTTTCATCATTCCCATACCTTCAAAAATTCGAACAGCTGCTTCGTAGTTTTCTTTTGCTTTGCAAAAATCTGTCATCTCCAAACAGTAACCCGCCATGTCTTTGTGCGCAAGCGCAGTCACAACATGCTCTCCATAACTGGACTGACGAAAGTGCAGGGCTCTTTGAAAGTATTCGAGAGCCTCCTTTCGTCTTCGTTCGTTAGCTTCCTTTTTTCTTTTTACGGTTTTGCTGTTGCCAAGCCTTGCATTGTGTCCCATCTGACTGAGAACTCTACCTTTATCAAATATAGAGGCATGTTCATCAACTTCCTTTTCAACAATCGAGAGTGCCTGTTTTAGAAGAGGTTGTGCTTCTTCCCTTCTATCATTGTCCTGTGACAGATATCTTCCATAGTGGCTCAAGAAAAACGCTTTAGACAATTTACTTTGTTCAAAAAGGTGCAGATTGTTGTTGTACAGTTTGACAGCCTGCTCAATGAGGTCTTTTGATTTCTTCATGTCTCCACCGTGTCTCCTTGATTCTTCATAGAGGAGAAACAAAATCTCTACTTGTTTGGTCTTATTTCCCTGAATTCGAGAAAACTGAAGAAGGCCATTAAGAAAGTCACCATAAAGCTTAAAAGGTACGCAGTCTTCAATGTATGGTGCTACCTGGCCACAAGCGTCCACTACATCTTCAAGTTCCTTGCAATTTTGGACTTTCTCTTGACCGCCGGCTACTTCTTGAAGAATGTACTCAATATTAATCCTTTCCTCGTTGAACAGCTGAAAAGACTCCTTACATGTGTCCTTCCCCCAATATTTCTGTGCATTTCTCAAAATCAGTGTTAAGAGGTGCTTGAGATAACCCTCCTTGCCATCAACAAGAATTGGGCGAAATTGGCCTATTTCCCCGATCTGCTTGGCATAACCTCTAATCAACAAGTGAAGGAGATATCGGTCGCCCTGTTTCTGTATCAAACACCTTTTCTTTAAATTTGTCAAAGCATTAGCACAGTTATCGCCAAGTATTGCTTTTGCTGCATCCCTCTTGAAAGACTGAGGAAACACTGATAGAGAAACTAGCGCACGTTGCGAAGACTTGTCTAGTTTTTCGAAGGCTATTTCCATTATCGGTTTGGCACTAAGAGTTCTGCCCGGGTTCTGCTCAAGCTTTTGTTTGAGTTCCTCAAAAGTGTATTCAGATTCCTCTGCAAGGAAAGGAGCAGCTAGCCGAAGCGCAAGTGGAATGTTCTCACAAAGTTCAGCTATCTGGCGCAATTTGGCTTTAGCTTCCGTGTCAGTGTTAGACGTCAAATTAGCACTGTCCTTTAGAATTTCTATGCTATCCGCAACATCCAAAGGACCAAGGTCTAGTTTACTAAGAAGAATGTTTGAAGCCGTTCCGACAGTTTCAACGTCTAAACTGGAGGTTATCAGGAACTTTATTTTGCAATCTGAACGCATCCTCATATCACTCAACAAGTTTAAAAACAAGTCTTTATCATGACCCTCTACAGCATCCTCCACGTTATCAATGATAAGTATCATCTCATTGTCAAGCTGTCTACACCAGTTGAGCAGAACGTGTTTTGGAAACTCGGTGCCTTGATAATTGCCTGGAACACACACATTCAGGATTTCTCTCACCACGCTGTCATCCTCTCTGCCCCCTTTATATGCGCCTCGCAAAGAATAATACTTAACAATGGCTCCAAATTCGTCTTTCAGCCGGTACCCAGCTTGAATGGCAACCGTAGACTTTCCTACTCCGGCCGTTCCAGTGACAAGGAAGCCCGCCAGGGTTGTGCAGCTTTTCCCCACGAGGGCTTGAACAATGTCATCAATTTCCTTCTCGCGGCCATGAATATTGGGTTCCCTTTCTGGTAGCTCACTTCTGAGTTTGATTTTGTCCATTTCTTTTTGTAAAGAAAAAACAAGAAAGTCAAGAGAGCCCGCAAATTATCTAGACAAATTTATTTCAAAGGAAAAAGATCGGGGAAGTTGTTCTTTACAATAATCACAATAATCATCGACCCCCCTCCCCCCTCGAGGACATTTAGTCATGGTCCCCTCCACACAGAAACATTCCATTTTTAATCTTCCTTAGTGGCTACTTTTTCTGGTCCAAATGGTGTCCGATTGAAGGATTATTTTCTTCGGTATACCACCCGACCATGTGGTGAATCAAGTGGTAGGTTGCACGAGCTGTATTTGATACGACAAAAAAACCTTTATTAGACAAGGGTATTTAAAGAAACATTAAAATGAAGGTAGACCTTAACCATGATACCCACCGGCTATCTTTTTACGCGCGTTATGACTGAGGATGTTACGAGATTTCTCAAGGGGTACTAAACAGCTGATAAAAGCAAAAATATGGGTGAAAGTGACCATATTTCCATTTCAGAATACAGAAATTGATCTAAGATATCGCCACACATATAGGATTTAATGACGTGAGACTCGATCTGCACACTTTGCCTGTTTTCTCTTTTTGGTAGCCTGGGATACAGCATCCTCTCATCGCCTACCTTGAGTGCTTTTCTAGCGCGGTTTCCGGTTTCTGTCAAGTCTTTATAGTGACCCGCGCAAAAAAACCCTGGAGCAGAGCGCTACTGCTTTGATGGCGCCAATCCAATCGTCAGGACGGTTAAATCGGTTGGTCCAGATTTTGGACACGACGGCTGATTGGCTCCTAACGACCACCTGAGGGGCTTTGAATCTAACAGATGCTACAATTGGTTGACAAGAATAGACCAGCACGTGAAAGAATATTTCCAACTGTGCTGTTGACATGACGTAAGTGTACTCGTGCGAATTGTTGTGATGGCGGCATCGGAAAGTTTTGAAAGAGCATTGAAGGAAAGCATAAGCAATGTACTGGAAAGGTTTGACGGTGTAGACAAGTTAAGCTATTAGCCAACAAGTGGAGTATTTAATTTTATTAAACGCAATTAAGCTTTTATCACAGCTTCAACTTTTGCAACAATACGATTTAAGCTTTACTAATTTCCTATTTCAAACGATTACAACATGTTTTGAAATAGTTTGTATTGATGAATTAGGATTATAAAAACAAAACGTGTATTTTTTTTAGTATAAAAAGGGGGTCGGTAGGCAACACACGACTTTTACCTCATGCCAAAATACTGCTTGTTCCAATGAATTTTTTTCTCTGGCCGGTAGATTGTGCTCTGGAGGAAAACGTTTTGACTGAACAAATTTGACTTTTGCCGATTATTTCATACTGAGAGGTCGTGACACGCATATTGATTTTCTGCGGTTATTGTGTCTGGTCGGCATATGATTTGCTCTCTGATGCAACAGCATTTTCTTTGAGCTCTTTTGAGGAAATGTTAAGCTTTTCATTGCGCCTAAATAAGGGTTTTAGGTTGTTTAATTTCTTCAAAGTGCCACCTGGATCTGAATAACTGTAAGCGATTATCTTTTTTTCCGTGAAAGTGACGGTTTCCGGCAATGTTCTGTCACGCTGGGCCCAGCTCGTTAGCGCTTTTAGCAGGATGTTCAATTCCCACAGATAGTGATTTTCAGATCCAAATCTCGAAGAATGGATTGCAGCTTAAACTGAAGCTACATCAACTATGGAGAATTGTGATGTGAACCAGTCATGATTGCTCTTAAAAACATTAATTTTAAACTTGAAATTGTTTTTGTAAGGATAATGTGAGTCTTTGGACACTTCTTCACGTGCCGGCCCATGTGATCACAGTTGGAGACTTTCAATCTCATTGGCGTAAATGTAATCCGATAAAAAAGCTCAAAGGTCAATGGGGACGGTAAAAAGCACCGTTCCGTGCCAGAGGTTTTTCTCGCGGCTTCGGTCTTCGGCCAACACCGAAAATCCCCGCCGCGCGCGAGAAAAACCTCTGGTACCCAGGGTACTCATCGCCCATCGAGAATAGCTGAAACGTCCCCAGGGTGACGTGGACCAATGAGGGGCGGCTGTTATCGCAGGCTATCATTTTTTGGGAATAAACAAAGTCCGTTACGGTTGCATGTATTGGTAGCCTTTATCCTTAGGAAAAAAAACTACATTGCATTATTCATATCATTTTCCCCCTCATACTGGCAAAGATCATCGGCAGACACATTGAACGACTCTTTTTCTCTCGTTCTACTTACCGGAAGTCGGCCACAATTGTCTCTCACTTTTATTCACTGATGCTTGAAGTTCATCTAGTTTGACTTCAACATCATCCAACTTGTCCTTTATGCTGTCTTCGTCCATCTTCCAATTCCTCAGAAGCCCTTTGTAGTGTTCTTCCATGTCAGGGTCCCAGGAGTCATACTTGAGATCATCGACAGCGGCCTCATAAGGCGCCCCTCCCAGTCTTACCAACGTGTCGCGGATGTTCTTCCAGTGATAATCAAATGTCCCATCGTCAACCGACGCTTGAGTGACGTGAGCATACACTGTATTTCTGTAGTATTTGATGCGAGCGATGTCAGCCTCACAAGACAAATCTGTAGGCAATGGGAGATTATCCCATCCAGTGGCCGGAGGAGTCAGGCCACAAATATTTTGGAGCAGTACCATCAGCAGAGTGATGTCAAAGTTCTTTGACGAAACTGAAGTTTTGATGACAGGATATAGTTTATCCCATTGTAAAGGATTCAAGACTTTCTTCTTTTGAAGTGATTGCAGCTTAAGATGTGCTGGTGTTGTTGCCAGCACTGTGTCTAGGCCTCGTGGTGGATGAATTCTGTCAAATGTCTCCCTTAGGACCTGAGAACCAGCACCCACTAGCAGGCGGCACAATCTTGTATAGTTTGTAGTCTCCCTTGAGGAAGGCCAAGTTGGAGCTACACTTTCCACAGATGCCATAAAAAGATGAAAACTTCGTTCTAAAATGAGAATTGATGAGCAATGACAAATATATTTACAGTCATGCGTTAAGGATCATTGATAGCCAGAAAACGACATCTACATCAGCTACTGACTATCCTTCAGAGAAACTGTTAATCCATTGATCAGTCAAAGTTAACGCCAGAGATAGAACTAACAACGCTAAGGCCAAACGTAGCACCACGACCTGCCGTATGTTAACAAACAGTACAAACACACATACACATACAAAGATCTCTTCAGGCAGTTAAAGGGGGTGGCACTAGTTTGGAGTTTTGGAAGTTTCAAGAGGTTCTTACTGATTATTCTCCACGATCTTTTGCTTTGGTTCTCCAAGAATAGATATAATCCTTTCAGACAATATCCATACGCCGCATGGAACGTTCCTTGAAATTCATGGTGGAAATTCCTACCAGAAAGCGTTAAATAGACCCACTTCAAAAATATATATCTTTTTTAAGACTACAGAGAAAAAAAGACCAAATTATACAATATGCAAATTAGGTATTACCAGTGTCAGGCTGCCCCAAATTCTCCACAAATTCTTTTTTTCCTTTCTCGTATTCCTCCTCAGAAATGAAAGTTTTCAGCTTCATTCCAGCGATGCCAAGGGTTTTTAAGACGTCACTTGTCACCAAAGCTTCTTGAGCCACTTCTTCAAGATGACCGTTTGTATAATCGTTCCAAAGTCCTTCAAGAGTTTGCAGTGAGCTGCACTCAACAGTTATCGTCAAACTTCCCAGATGGTAGCCTCGCACTAAAACTCTCAGTCCATATTGCAAGTGGTTATAAAATGCACAAAGGCGATTTCTAACTGACAGAACAACATCCCAAAGATAATTTTCTGTTGGAACATATCGCTGATATACTTGACTTTGCCCAGAGACTGTGCCTTCCACTCCTTCTGCCTGCTCTTGCTCTTCTTGAGTTATGAGTATGATTCTTATTTCACCTGACCTACCGTCTGCTTGATAAATTCGACAGGAGTCAGCAAGATCACGAATGTTGATTACTCTTCCTTGTAGGGTGATGTTTTCGATGTTGATCACAACATTCGTGGCTACTACAAACGTAAAAATAAAATAAATGATTAAAAAAGTTAATAAAAATTAGCCCTCGATGGAGTGAGTGAGGTGACAGTTTAAACTACGTCAGCCGTGCTCTTTTTATGTTATCTGTGGGAAACCTAATTCAGTCAACTCTCTCGCAAGCGACCGCCCCTAGTGCAACACAAAGTGGTTGCTTACAGGAGGTGGTCGTTGTGATGTAATCGCTTATATGTTCCCATCCGTCTCAGTGGGCGGAATAGCTTCCTGTGTGGTCGATGCATTTGTTCTTGCTCGATTAAAGCTGTTGTCTTATTCTCGCCTGTTTCGCCTCTAAATAATGTTGCATTTTGTCGAGAGGTTGGTACTCCGAACCATGACATCTTTTCGAGTCCAGCTACCGAACTTTGATTTCAGTCTTCAAGAAGATTGACCGAAATGAAGCCGAACGTTTGAACGTTTCCACCATTCGTCTTGTCTGGCGAGACAGGAAGAAGGGAACCAAATAAACACCATGATCTACGCTTTGGGAGATCAAGAAGACAATATTTTGACCTCCTACAAACTCTTCAGTTCGCAGATGAAACAATATCACACCGTTAAAACGAAATTTGATGTGGACATTTTGATTCGGCGAAATGTTTTTTTCCAGCGAGCAAAGATCAAGATGATCTAAGATCGAATTTTGGTAGGCCTCAAGACTCAAAATTATCGCAGAAACTGCAGCGAGACCCTGAATTATCTCTGACTAAAAAGCGATTAATCAGGCCCGTTAAAGCGAAGTCTTAAAGAAGCAACAAGAACTTTTGAGAAACGACTTCAAGGATTCTGAAAACTCTAAGAAAAACGTCGACGCGGTCAAAGAAAAAGGTAAGAACACTCCGAAACTCAAGGAAAATTCCAACATAGAAATGTTTGCTAATGATTCTACAGCGAATTATATTGGCAACTCAATCGACTCTATTCACGTCCAAATCCTGAAGCTTCTAGATGAACTACATTATTTTGAACTAAAGCCAACTCAATGTTTCTTCATTCTACAAAGAGAGTAGTTATGTTTATGTCCAAGACTCCGTTTATTGGTCCATTAAGACCAATTAAGACCAATCACTTATTAGTCCAAACTAATAATGTGCATCTAGATCATCCTGTTTGGGGTCTCAGTAGATAAGAAACTTAACTGGTCTCCTCACATTAACCAAATTCACTGCACCCTCAATGCTAAGATTATCAAGCTTAAACAGACGAAGACTACCGATCAACCCTGGATTCCATCTTTTTCAAAGCTATTTTACCCAGTACCACTTATTGCATTTCTCTATGGGGATCGTTACACTTGTTCTCTAACCCTTTTACGACAGCGACTATACCTTACATCACAGGCACCTCTGAATCTATCGCATGTATCGTACAGCCTTACGATATACTTGTTGCACACAAACCTATAACCACTTTACGACGACTGCTTATCAATGTCAAGGACAAAGACATACCGGAGGACAGACAGGGAACAGTATACAAGATCAAATGCTGCGACTACCAGGCCACTTACATCGCTGAGACCAGCGCGCAGAAACCTTGGCTCGCGAGTGACTGAACACCATTTACAGACAAAACATCAAATCGATCGGGACACTGTGACATGCATAACGTATTCTACAGATTACTAGCAACGACTCACTTTAGAAAGCTGGTTTTCTAACTTACAACGGACGCCACAGAATCGTAGTCAACAGTTACCGGCACCGGACAAAAGACTTATTGACGAACTCAAGCAAAACTAGCAACGACAGGATGACTGATAACCGACTGTTTTACTAACAATAAACACCTGTTCGACTGTGACAATAGACAGATCGAAACGCACCAATGACATTTAAGGGTCTTCATAGCCTGTAACATCACTGCTTAACTTACAGACGGCCAATAACATCGCGACTTAATTGACCAGTCAGGTCAATAACCAGAGTATAATACCATCACTGACGCGACACAACTCTCTTTGACTTTGAGGATGACTACCGCACAGGTTGTCGAAACGTTATGTCAGCAACAGTCGTACTCAGGACTACGTTCGCCCTAATGATCATACTCAAAGTAACATTAAGTAATTATCTCAGAAGCTCTAACTTAAGCAAATAGGCAACTGCCAATAATGTTCCACATGGAATAGCGCTTGGAATTGCTGAAACTTTATACATAACATTTTGCATCAATGTTACAATTCACCTTTTTCTAACAGATCGTATTACAGCCATCACTTTTGGTAAGTCAACAGTAACAATTTGTTAGCACGCTTAAAAAATTAACATTTGTGACATTCCACCAATCGTACATGGTCTTGACTGGTAGTCGCTTAAGGGAAACAGATGTCAAAAGAATATATCAAACTTCTGGTTTAAAAAGTGGTCGTTAAAGAATTTTAAGTCGTGGTAGTTTAGGAGAGAGTTTTTGAATAAGAAACAATACGGCTATGTTGAAAGTGGTTGCTATTAGAGAGTTGACTTTATGGTACCGAATAGATACTGCCTTCGTAGGTTATTGTAAACAAGACGCCCGATGAGTTTCCGTCAAAACCACTGAAATTCACCCCGATAACTCGAATTCCCCGCAAACTGTACTCGAACAGTGTTTTGTTTCCCTTCAGAGTTTGAGTTACCGCAGTTCTACTGTAGAAACTATTTAAAATGAAAGAAGTCTATTTCGTTAAAAGTATACTGCAGAAATTTATGCCCAGAGAAAATATGATTATTGTAATCTGAATTAGCACTAGGTTACCATTTTCACTTGTTAATTTGCAGAAATTGACAGATGCATGTGCCTGAAACCAAATTTCAGGTTACTTTCATAGCGGGGCTCCCACGCGCGCGAAGCAAGCATGGGACAGAGCCCCATACTCATGGAATATGGTCAACCTCTTTTCGTTTGGTTGTCACGTGATTGACCGAGCGTACGTACGTACGCGTCTATAGATTGTACGGGTGGGGTAGGGGAGATTATCAAAAGGAAGGGAGAGGTGTCTCAGGCGTGTCTTGACAAGTCCACATCTTTTATATAGGACATTCACAGGAGGGAGGGGGCGACTCTATTGTTTTCGAATTACGTTTATTGACCCATTCCTCGTGCCAGTGTGACGTCACATAGCAACGGGTGAGTGCTTCGCGTTGCTTCTGCAGATTAGCGTGGGACGCCATCGAGCGGCGAACAACAGAGGCCAAGAAAGACAAAACGCTAGGCTAATATCGCTATTGTTCGCTAATTTGATCGTAAGTGTGTGTGCTTTATTGTTGCTTTTATCTGTTTGTGTGATCACACAGACTTCATCAGGGAGTATAACAAGATAGAGCTAAGGAAATAACTTTATACCTAATGATTAAGACAAAATCACGTTCCTGTAAGTGTGCAAAGTTTAATTTTGGGGCTCACGTATTTAACATTAAATCCGTGAGCCCCAAAATTAAACATTGCAAATTTTGTAACGCAGGATTATAGTAATATCCTGCACGCATATTTTGTGGGTGTTTTTTGCTGTTCACACCCTTACAGGCACGTGATTTTGTCTTAATCATTAGTTATAAAATTAGTTCCTTGGCTCTATCTTGTTATACTACCTGATGAAGTCTGTGTGATCAGACGAAACCGGTCAGAGGAATAAAATCAAGTAAACAAGATCCTTGCGTTGCTTTGTGCTGCTCACTAGTGTTCATTTCAAAAATTAAAAAATTAAAAGATTAAAAAATTACAAAAAAATTACAAAAAATAATACATCATTAAAAAGTTAAAAAATTTAAAAAATAAGAAAATTTTTAAAAAAATTACAAAAAAAATTAAAAAATTAAAAAAAAAGGAGTAAGCCAACACACGACCCACAAAGACAACTGAAAATTAGTGTGAGAGACGAAGAGCTGAAGAGCTATCCTTTGAGCTATCACCACAGAATAAATCATTTAAAGAAATGGTTGCTGCCCTACAAAAGGACGCATTGCCCTCTAGTGATAGTGAAAAAGAATTTGAAAGTGATTTTAGACTGTTAGACAGTTCAGAAGATTTATTTTTCCAAAGACTTGATGAGCCCACTGAAAATGAACAGCAAAGGATGTGTGCCAAATCTTACCTGTCTGATTTGTTTGACCAAACATATGATTATCAGATGGTAAAAACAACAGAATTATGGGAGTACGGAGAAATGGGAAGCAAGTTAGGTGTTTCATTTTGAAGAAGGGATTTCAAGACCCCCTGATTATTTCCTGTGACCTGCACACTGGCTGTGCTTATTTGACTGAGGGGAACCATCGCCTCTGGGTGGCACTGAGAGAAAAAATCCCTTTTGTAGCCTGCCATGTGATTCCTCAATGGTTTCCACCCAATAGATCATTGAAAAATGTCAATGCAGATCTTACAATATTACAGTCTAAGGAAGTCATACTTCCAGAGCATTTAGGACTAACAGTTCTCAACGCCAAGCAAGTTCAGTCATAAATCAATAACTCCCAGACAAAAATCCTAGGTAAGCTTATAATTTGACAATCTGAAGCAAGACCCTGATTCTGCTTTAATGGTAATTTGCCACTGAATTGTCCTGAATGGGTTTTGATGTCCTAGGTCATGAGTTTAAAACACTGTTAACAATTTCACTACTAAGGGTCTTGAACAGGGTGTCCTTAAATGCCTCTGTTAATAATGAATTTCATTGGCTCCAAGACACAAGACAATACTAGTTGCTCGTGGAAAGGTATTTTGAATAGCCCACTTAGTTAATTTTGGTAACAATAATATGCACAAAGCTGCATAGATCCAGACGTGCTTTACACAAAAATAATAATTTAACAAAACTGTTTTCCTTCGGGAATGAGTTAGAAAATTACAGGAGTATTCCCTACACAGGGAAATGCATTGAAACAAAAGATATTATCACTCACCTCTTTTCCGCCATGCCGCTAAACGAACTCTGAAGGGATTGATATGATGAACCATCGACAAAGAAGACCTGAGATTACACGTACTCAAAGCCTGTTATGTCCTTAGATGAACCTCCTATTGCTGAGTCGAGACACCATAACATCGCTGTGCACTGGCCCTCGAAAGTGTGACCGGTAGATATGACTGCTCGACATTCAAGCTCGACGATCGAAAGGAATCTTAAAAAATCATTACACCTCTGAAGGTTTCATTCAAAATAAGTACAATGTACCGGTTTTCTGTTTCAATAGGAATCTTAATATCGCCAAATCTAAGAAAATGAAGCAAGATAAGCGTAAGAAATTCTATTATTTTATCCTCCTCATCAACAACGACTTTGCTCGCCATTTTGAAAAGTCACCGTAGCGAGACATGACGTCATACTGGCACGAGAACTGAACCATCGATTTCCTTGGAGACGCCCCCTCCCTCCTGGACATTCACAATATGGTCAATTGACAGCTGTCAAAACAGGATAGCCACTGACCAGTATCACATGACCATATCGCGGGCTCATGTGTCAACTCATCGAGGTGACGTGATTAATTGGGAAGCTGTCCACTGACCAGTTAATTGTTTTACTAGATCGCGAACAATGTTCAATCTCGTACTTTCTAGCTAGTTTGGGAGTACAGGAAAACTGATGATGCACACATATTGGACATCAATGTTTTGATCAATTGACAGCTGTCAAAACGGGGTACCCGCTGACCAGTATCACTTGACCGTATCGCGGGCTCAGGTGTCGACCCATCAAGGTCAGGTATTTTTTGAAGTTATCCGCTGATCAGTTACTAGTTTTCAAGTGATCGCAGGCTTAAGTTTATTATTTTTTAAATTCATATTAAATATGTTGTGTTTATGTGCCGCACAATTAAAATTTTGATTTCAAACTGACCTCGAAGGCGAAAATTCAGCCAGCTGTTACAGGCAGGCAAGGCAGTTGCTTTTAACTTTTCTCACCATGGTCACGCGTTGGTCACGCTCTACGTCCAATTTTTATGCTCTGATTGGTCAAAATTTGACAGGTGCGTTCATGTGGAAATTTATGCAGCATCTTGAAGCTTGTTTACTTTGACAGCTGAAGCTGACAGGCTGACAGAGTGTTGTGTCAACTTCACAACTTGTGATGTTTTTAACTGTCTTTTTCCACTGGATGTACAAAATGAAATTCAGCTGCTATCAGGAGTCTCCTGTTATTCATCTCTAGTTTGTTTATTGGGTTTTTGGTTGAGAAATACGTCGCTTGTCAAAGTCGGATGGCATCGTTTTCGTTTTCACCTTGCTTGATGCGTAAGAGGGTTGAAATGTCTGAAGCGATACTGGCCTTACTTGATACCTTCAAGGAGCTAGATCTCGACTGGTAAGCCTCAGCAATTATTGCATTTGATGTTTGTTTTTTGTATCTAATTTAATGAAGTCGAGCGTACTTTATGCGGGTATTTAGTTTATGCACGTTTGTAACATTTGAGACAATGATCTGACCGAGTGTCAGGTTTGATAGAAGCTTACAGAACTTTAAAATTAGCCTTTAGACATTTTCTCACGGCAAATAGAAAGAAGACGTTCCAAAGAATATATATAGTTATAATTCTGGCTGTAAAGAAAGCTTTAAGCGATTTTCTTGCCTCGAGTTCGTCTTTGAAAAAAGCGAACACCGGGAAGCTGGTTTCAATATAAACAGTCCAGAATATCCCTAAATTTAAGGACAGGGCCAGCTGGTCACGCGACACTTTTCAACCAATGAGAAGGCGCGCTTGTGTTTATCAACAAACAAATCAAAACATCACCCCAGTGCTCAAAAATTGTCAAAACAACGGACGCAGTCGACGGACAGAATTACCGTACCGTACCTTACCGTACTCGTCTAGGTTTCACATTTAATATTTCAAAGAAAACATTTCATGTAAGAGAATCAGAGCATTATTCATTGCAAGGAATCATTGGGGTGTTCGAACTGTTTCCGGACCGATCGCAGTGGTCGTGGCTTCACTGGCATGGCTTGCAAGATTTTTGATAGAAACAAAATGGTCCCGTGTAAAAATAGCCTTATAGAGAGTGTGAAAATTTGTTGAGATCATACAAAACAGGATCGGTACTACCTATTAGCTTCTACAGGACAAGAATCAAAGAACCAGTCGTCATAACAAGAGTAAAAAGTAGTTCAAATTTATTAATTTTTCTTGTTTGTTTTTGGTGTTGCTTCGTGTTGACTACACGCATCTGGTGCTTTCCTTGCTTGCTGTAGTACCTGCAATGTTTTAATTTGATCCCAGATTCAGTGCATGTTCAATGACTAGCGAAATACATCATTTACACTTGAAATTTGCCTTCTTTCTTTGATTGTTTTTTAACGGTGGATGAACATTTGGAGAATCCAGCAACATTAAATCTTTCCAGATTTGGTGAATTTCAGAAACAAAGCCGTTAGTATCTACCTTGCGCTTATGATCTTCAATTTCGGCAAAGTGAGGCGAGATGTTGGACGTGAATATCCATAAGACTAATAAAGTTGTTTTGGCCCTGAAAAGAAAAAAGGCAAAGGCTCGTACTAATGCGAAAAAAAGTAATAACACGGCTCTGTGAGAAACCCGGGAATGGAAAACGTACGTGATTTGGACCTCGGAATTCAAAACCGGTCTACCAAAATTCTAGGTTGTCTACCATCCCTCATTCAACATGATAAAAGTTAATCGATATGACAATCAAGGACAAATATCTAGAACTTCGTAAAAAAAAATATGTGAATCGAAAAAATGATAGATACTTGTTCACCTACCTTGAAAACCGACCAAAATCTCGCCCATACATCGCGTTGTTTAAAAGAAGAAATAAGCCACAAAAGGTGCTGAATATTTCACGAGACACTTCCAATATGGCTTCCGATACGCTGTCCACTTAAAAAAATTGTGTATGCCTCATGAAAAGTCTTAAAAATATGCCTGAGAGCCTCGAAAAGATGACTGATTTTGTCCGACTCCGTCCGCTGTTTTGAAAATATTTCATCACAGCAGCGATGTTTGATCATGTTTTGATTTGTTTGTTGATAAACACAAGCGCGCCTTCTCATTGGTTGAAAAGTGTCGCATGACCAGTTGGCCCTGTCCTTAAATTTAGGGATATTCCGGACTGATAAACTTAAGCTTTAAGCTTGAAGACTCAGGATTTTTAGAGACACTTTAATACTTGTCTTCCTGAATGAAAATTGTTACCTCTGTATATGTTTCACCGAATTATATTTCTTTCATCGATTGTTAGTAGTCTCCCTGACTTGTAATTAGCCTGCTTAAGATCCGACGACGGCAGACGTCTGTGACGGCGAGCGGAAGTGAAATCAGTGCTACAAAGACTTCCGGCTGCCATCGTTGCGAAGTTTCCCGCCGTAGCGGCCTTGTCTGTGACGTGAAGAAAGCCATTTTGCCGTCGCGTGTAAAACGTGAGTAAACTTGATCAAAATAATGCCATTTAAACACATTTTGAGCGAAATTCTTTAGCACTGTTAACAGTTTATTCTCAGTAGACCATTTTTGTCGAATTTCTAAGCGACTTAAACGATTTGAACACGGTATTTAAATTAAATTTGTTTGCCCTCTCTAAACAGTTTGACTCGTTAATCGCCATGGACTCGGTCAACTCGACAAAGAAAGCAACCCAGTAAGTTTTACAAGTTTTTTCTTGTGTTTATTGATGTGTTTATTAACAATTATGATATCGTAGACTTGTTTTGGCATTAAATTGAGGTCCAATGGATTATGTCACTCATCTTTTCGTCAAGCCTCTCGAGGTCAAAATGTTCGTAATTCTGGTAGGGAAAATCCGGATTTTTAGATCTGTTGACATCATACAACAGTAAAAATTCATCTTCTGAAATGTCGCCATCATCGAAACTTGTCAGTAACAATTCACGAACCTTTCTAAAAGTAGTCATCACTCTTGTATTTATTTCTAAACTTCAACAGGAAAAGGCGCTACAACAACCCGCAACTCGCAACTCGCAACAACTCGTAGAATCTCGCCGTCGTCGGATCTTAAGCTCACTATTTTAATCGCTGTGCCGATTGTTTTCAGTCGTTCATTGAACATCGCTTGCAGGAGTACTCAAAATGCCGCGCGTTAAACCATTAAATAAAAAATAAACATAATAAATTCTTTATTATGTTGTAGCGTAACTCTGTTAATGTTCATTCAAAACACTCGCCACAGTTCGCACTACAAAAGTGAGAACCGGATGGCCGTGTAGGTGATTTTGGAAATTTTTTTAACGGTTTAGCTAAAAGCCCAAGCGTACTTCCATCGTCCTGAATATTGAATGAGTGCAATTTGTTTTGCAAAATTGTGAAATACTGCTTTCTGTCTGAGGTCTGTATGATAAAAACAGTTCCTCATAGTACTGTTTCACCTCAGATGTGATGTATAAATGGTATAAAAGGTTGGCTTACACGCACCCAGATTTGTTGGCAAGATTTTGCAAAGTAAACTTGGCGAACGCAAAAAATTCGGCCTGATCTTTTTTCCAGGCCTAATTAGTCTACGGTGATCAAGAGCCATTATGGTACTTAAATGTGATCGAAGATGATTAACAGTTTTTGGTGTACATATGAGGCTATCAACTCGATGTAATATTTGGTTCACTCTTGGGCTGTTTGCAAATTATTTTTCTTTAAAATCACTCACCCTTTCCCTCAAAAGTCACAGAAATGTGCTCTAAAGTTAACTGAATTGTGGAATACAAGTTTGTTGTTTGATTTAAATTATAAATTTATTAATGGGAGCCTCGCTTTTAGCCCTGGCTAAATCTGTATATTATTTGTTCTAATCTGTGACATGTTTTGACCGAAATTGAAATAAATCAATTCAATTCCATCCAATCAATGTTTATTCATTTTATAATTTTACTTAGCGGACTTTTGCAGCAATTGTGTCTCAATTCTATCCACTGACGCTTGAACGTTATCGACTTTTGCCTCAACGTTATTTAGCTTGTCCCCGATGACATCCTCGTCCACCTTCCACTGCTTCAGCATCTCTATGTAGTATTCTTCCATTTCAGGGTCCATGCAGTCATTCTTAACACCATCAATAGCTGCTTCATATTTCACTCCTCCCAGTCTTACCAGCGTGTCGCGGATTTTCATCCAATAGTTATTAAAATTTGCATCGTCAACTGACGCTTGGGCAGCATGACCGTACACTGTGTTTCTGTAGTATTTGATGCGAGCCAAGTCATCTTCACAATTCACGTCTGTGGGCGAAGGAAGGGCATCCCAACCAGCGGCCGGCGGAATCAGGCCACAAATATTCCTGAGCAGCACCATCAGCAGAGTGATGTCAAATTTCTCAGACGAGACAGAAGATTTGATGGCAGGATACAAAATTCTCCATTGTGAAGGATTCACAACTTTCCTCTTTAGGAGTGATTTCAGCGTGTCAGATGTCGGTGGTGTTCCCAAAACAGTGTCAAGACGTCCACGCGGACGTATTCTATCGAATGTCTCCTTCAGGACCTGAGAACCGACATCAACCAAAAGGACACATAATCTGGCATAATTGGTGGTTTCCCTTGAGGTGGGAAATGTTGGCGATGCAGCAGCCATGAACAGATGTTTACTTTTCTCCGCAACGAGAACCTGTAATTTACGGACGCTAATAATTAATGGACTCAAGTAACAATATATAGAGCAGCGTTCCTTGTCTAACATCCAAAAAATAACGTTTATAGTAAAGGCGCGGGATCTACCAAACGAGCCACAAGGCAAAGTAAATGGGCATGATGATCTTGTCAGTGCGCATGCCTCTTAAACAACCTAGTGGCTTTAGTAATGTGCATTGTCCTGGATCCCTTTCAGTTGTAACGCCTTAATTCTGCAAACATGGGTAAAAAAGCTTTAATAAACGATGAAGTATTTTAATCCATAAACGTTTTCTCTTTAAGAGCTGGTTACTTTTCTATTTTATTTGAAAGAGGGCATAACCATCCTCAAAGCATGTTACAGTTGGTTAACAATGAACAATTTCTCTTTGTTCATCTTTCTTTAACGAAAGGATGTTTATTGTCCATCATGTTATTCATTCAAAAGATTTATCCGTTTCTGATTGGCTCAAATGCCGCGGCTAATTTTTCAACCAGCTCGCGTTGACCAATTTTGTAAGAAGTATACGATATTTGGAAAATGACGTCAATATAGCACAGCATAAATGCCAGAAAAATGGGTAAAAACCGAGAAGCCCAGGGAACGACGTTGCATTGTTTTGGTGGAGCAAGACAAAATGGCTGAACATTTCACACGATTCGCGAAGAAGAAATTAACCAAACTAGGAAGAACTGAAGAAGCAAGCAAGAATACAAGTCGACGGGGGCATCTGCTATTCAGAGAATATTTGCAGAACTAAAACTCCTTTATATTGGGAACCTTGCCAAAAAATTGACGAATGAAGATAAACAAATAAAATAAAATAAATAAACTGTTTATTAATCACCACTGCAGTTAAAAAAACTGAATTACGGGGATACAATACAAGCTTCAAACATTTACACCATTTTAACAATGAAATTCATATTTAGTATACACGTATACACACTCAGTGATCTTGGTGATTTAATCAATCCGATTGGTCGCTATCTCGGACTATTCAACAATATTTATCTCCTAGCGAGTGGATAATGTGTGAGCTCGGTGTTTTTCTCTTCCTATTTTTTTTTTTAAGAGAGAAGGCTTTAAAAAGTCGGTAGGGTTAACGATTTTTGATGCAAGAAAGACTTTGAGGGATTGAAAACGGCGCTTTTTCCCATTTACTGTAGCTGACGTTTTTGCTCGATCCTATGTTTACAGTTCCCGTTTATTCGTGCACAAGGACGCCGTTTCGTGAACTCAGCGTTTCCTAACAAGAAACATTTTGCCCAAAAAGCGAAGTTTATTTATGACAAACAAAAATGAAAGCAAATGTTTGCAGAAATTCTTCGTTTCAAGTAAATAGGACAAAGAATGCTACAGGAAAACGACGCCTCACCTCGAGCAACTGATGGGACTTTAGCATCGATGGAGGTAAGCATGTTTTAGCTTGTTTTCAAACTACCAATCATTTGAAAGAATAACAGAAGAATTGTTGGATTCGGCTTCATATTATTTGAAGAAGAGATCTCGGAGGGCATTATCTGCCTTGGGCTAATCGGCTTCGGTAAATAACACCCTCCTCGATCTCCACTATTCTTCAGATCATACTCAGCATTACCCTAACTATTGTCAAAGATGTGTTATTTAAAAGAGAGAGATAAAAAAGTGCATAATATAAATATGAAATTAAAATGAAGCGGTCTTTATTGGTTTGCAAGTAGAATAAATCAAGGCTGAGTAGAATCATATGTTTGTGTTTTGGAGGCAAATGTGTGTTGGCGCATGAACAACAGTCAATTCTTTTCAGATGGACACCATTGGAAATGACCCTAGGTTCCTGTATTGGTCAACTTTTCAAGATCAAACAATCGCACTTTGCAGGGCACCCAACGACCGAACGAAGATGGCGTCTCGTTTCAAGACATTTTCGGAAGACGGAATTCAGTGAGCGATAAATGACGCAGTCGTACAAAGAAATACCACAAAAGTGACGAACTTTGGCTTGTCGGTGTTTACTGGTAGGCAGAAAATTATTTTCATGCTGAATTTGCAACAAAAGTCTTAAAAATCACTTGACAAAATCCCCGAAATGTCTGTAAATTGTCAACAAAGTTCCTACTAAGTGACGTTTTTAATTTACAAAAAATTATTTCCTTATAGCCTGAGAAAACATCCGTTTCTCCTCGCTCTTAGTAGCTGGGCACGGTTCGCGCGGAAGACCGTCTGCAACTCAGCGGCAGAAATTCAATACTGATGACGCAATTCAATGTTTACATAATAAATCCTGTAGTCATGGGATTTTTCCAATATTACGTGTCTTCTGGTCGATTTTGGTAAAGTGTTGTGTTTATCTGCCAACGAGCTCCAGCAAAACTCAAATGCTTCTCCTAAAGAGGACTACATTCCACAAATATTGATTGTTTTGTTAGAGATTCTTCGCGTTTCATTTGACCTTTGTGGCCTTTTGTCTTTTGTCTGTCATTCGTAAACAATAGCTAAAACAATGTAACTTTTCCGTCGACCAATCAGCGCTTCTTACCTGATTCCGACAGATTTTACTTCATCAGCATGGAATTTCTGTCTGTTCCTCCACGCGAAACGTCCCAAGCGGCGAAGAGCGAGGCTAAACGGATGTTTTTGAAGGCAATTATTTTCTTCATTTTTACCCAGTAAGCAGCTCCTAAAAACCTCTAATTTCATTGGGTCTCCATAACACGCAGCTCCATTGTTTTAGGGATAGAGTCATGGTTATATTTCTATGTCTATTGTTTTCACAGCCAATCCTGTGAGGCCTTGTAAAGAACTGCGTTCCGCCCACATGCCTTGCTTCGCTTTGTGCACGAAAACAATACCGAACAAACAACGAGCCGCAAAGCCGTAGTAAATGGCGATGAATTTAGCCCAGGTTACGCATAAAAAGCAACAACAGGAACAAGTTTAGATAAGTAAAATCTGTTTATATATTTATGCCTATATTTCTACGTTTTAACAACCATGTTAAATGTCTCACACAAAGCCTACAAGTCGTCAGTAATGTGCAAAACACCATCAAAACAGGCGATAGTTCATGTGCCGAGCTTGGGCTGCCTGTGCGCATACAAACACTCGATGCGAACAATGTTCAGTCAATACATGGAAAATCAGTGAGCAGGCGGAGCAAAAACATAACGAACGCAATAATATCAAGAGTTGGTTGGGTTCACGCAACTCAAAACTCGGAAAAGCAAGCATATATTCCAACACTAATAATCTACTTGGATAATGATAATGTATTAATGTTAACGAAAATTTAGATGGTGCAAATGTCCTTTATTTTCTCGAATGATTATCACTTCTATTAAGTCGGAAATTTACTGACATTATTGAATGTCCTTCTCTATGTAAAAATCTTTATTTTCCAGACGAAAACTAAGATGTTATATTTTTTCAATTATAACACGTTCATTGTATCGACTGATATTTTGACGCTAATAAAAATTTATTTCCTGGTAATGAAGGATAAAAGGTGTAAAACTGATAACGTCACAAGTGGTGCAAGATACGAGTACTCGCACAGGAGGTTTCGGGTGTGAATGGATTAGAGAGGTTGCATTCTCTCATGTGACGAACAGTAAAAGGGAAAAAAATTGTAAACCTTTAGTTTCAAACTGCATAAACAACAATATTATATATGCTTGCTGCTATGATAATTAGCCTTAATTATACATTTTACTAGCTATCAGTCTTCTCACTGGATAAGAACCTACAGCGCATGCGTCAAGTCATTGGACACGTGCGTCGCATCAAGCAAGTCGACTTAAAAAGAAGATAAAGAAGAAAACAACTGAAAAAAGTAGAGTCTAACGTAGTTAGATCACTTAAACCTTTAAGAACCAACGTAGTTTGTCTTACGTCACAAATACGTAGCTCTAACGAGGTTAGAACTCGAAAAAATGACAGAACTTGAAGGAGCATCTCGCGACGTCCCCAACGAGTCCGGCGAGACGCGAAGCACGAACGCTTTGGCCAGCATGGTCCAGTCTGTAGTCCAAGAATTGAGAGCAATGAACAGACGAATAAATCAGCTGAGCGAGCCCGTTAACCTCAACGACGAGGACCTCGCCTACGAAGAGGGCGAACTGGAGTACGGAGATGCTGACAGCGAATCAATTGTTTCTCTCGATACAAAGGTCAACGAATTGACCAAAGCTCGCGAGGCGGGAAACAAAAAATCAGAGAGCACTAGTGCTCTTCATGATATAGCTCAGGATCTAGATCTGAGTGAGAAAACTGGGAGCGCTGTGGATGAGGAACTGGCTAACATTGTGAATAGTCTCCTAAAAGACAAAATTCCACACGAAAAGACCCAAGCAAAGGTCGATCAATATCCTAACCCTGCGAACATCGAGGGGCTTAGAACGCCACGAGTAAACCCACTCATCA